CAGCCCGACTTATGGATATTATTGGCATGTCAGAGAAGATCTTGGGGAGAGGAAAAAATCAAGCGGCGGTGGTGACCATGGCAAGGGATCCGGATTGAGTGGAGGTGCGCATGGCAAAGGATTGCGATCGGGGAGCGGTGCAAGTGACAAGGGTCCGGAACCAAATGACGGTGCAAGCGGCAAGGACGCAAGTCGTGGGGAACGGCAACAAACCGAAAAGTCTAAGGGGCGTCAAGCAACAGAAGGCAAGGGATCAGCATCAAGCGGCGGTGGGCATGGCAAACCTACAGGACCAAGCGGCGGTGGTTCAACTGTCGAAGGGTCTCAGGGGCCTCAAGAAACAGAGCGCAAGGGATCAGGATCGAGTGGTGGTTCAACTGTCGAAGGGTCCCACGGTCGAGTCGAACACGACAGTGGCCTCGCATTGGAGCGTTCCCGGCTTGACCAAGCGAAGAAACTCACGGTCGAGTCGAACCCGACAGTGGGATCGGAAACGATCGTCGGTGCGACTGGCAAGGCTTTCGGACCACGGAGGGCCAGTACAACTATCGGCGGTGCTTCACTTGTCAAAGAGTCACACGGTCGTGTCGAACACAATACTCGTCCAGCATTCGAGCGCTCACGGCTTGACCAAGCGAAGAAACTCTCTGTCGAGTCAAACCCGACAGTGGGATCGGGATCAATCGCCGGTACAAGTGGCAAGGCTTCGGGACCAATCGACGTTGTTTCACCTGTCGAAGGGTCACACGGTCGAGTCAAACACGGTAGGGGTCCACTATTGGAGCGCTCCCAGCTTGAACGAGCGGAGAAACTCGTGGTTGAGTCCAACCCGACACAGCAATGGGGATCGATTGCCGGTGCGAGTGCAAAAACTTCGGGACGAAAAGGCGGTGTGAGTTGCGAGGGCGTGAGTACAGCTGACCAAGTTTGGGCGACTACAATACTAGTGGGCGACAGTGTCACTATGAAAGTGGATATTACTGGTACACTCACGGAATTGCAGATGCCGTCGTCGACGATGCCAGTCGAAGTAAGCGGCACTTTCCAAGACACTTTTAAGGGTGTAAAGGAGGAAGAAACTCTCCATGTACAGGGCATCGAAGAGGATGAAGGACATATAGTACTAAATACACAGGAGCAAGCTGTACTTGTACAACCTCAACAAACGCTTGAACAACCTCAAACAACACAGTCTGTTAACCTCATGATAGCTATCGAGGAATCTCCTATTGCGCCATTGCATATGGAAGGTGAGACAGAAGGTCATGTTAAAGAAAAACTGAGAGTTAGCCATCGAGGTGAACACTTTCTTATCTAAGGAGCAATATCTAATACTATATGCGGATTAGTGAGTACATCACATGCACTCATCTCCCATTGTGTCGATCCCTCACATGTATTGTTTATTTACCTAGCTTTGGAACTCTGTGTTTTGTATGAAGACTTAGTGCGATTGCTATATATTTTGTATTGGTATTCATGAGTCAGTTTCAACAACGGAAAGTCGGACTTGTAACTCATTATGTTTTATTTTGTCAATCATGCAGGCCGACGAAAAGAACTGTGGAAAACGACACATGTACACTCGCAAAGGAGGAGAGAGAAGAATATCATTCGTCGTGGCTTGCAAGCTTTGTCAACTTTGTCGTTATTGCCAAAAAATGAGAGAAGAAGTCGTACACCCATGACATTTCCATCTGTGAAGCCAGTTGCCTTAAGGATGTTTAAAACTGTTGGAATAAGCCTCACAGAAGGGAAGAAATT